GAGGATTGGCAAGCATCCATGCCCTGCCGGCTCCGCCCAAGCTCAAGCTTCATGCACTGCCAGCTCCGCCCAAGCTCAAGCTCCATGCCCTGCCGGCTCCGCCCAAGCTCAAGCTTCATGCACTGCCAGCTCCGCCCAAGCTCAAGCTCCATGCCCTGCCGGCTCCGCCCAAGCTCAAGCTTCATGCACTGCCAGCTCCGCCCAAGCTCAAGCTCCATGCCCTGCCGGCTCCGCCCAAGCTCAAGCTTCATGCACTGCCAGCTCCGACCAAGCTCAAGCTTCATGTCCTGCCGGCTCCGCTCAAGCTCAAGCTCCATGTCCTGCCGGCTCCGCCCAAGCTCGAGCTTCATGTCCTGCCGGCTCCGCCCAAGCTCAAGCTCCATGCCCTGCCGGCTCCGCCCAAGCTCAAGCTCCATGCCCTGCCGGCTCCGCCCAAGCCGGCTCCCTCCTCTGAGGCAGGCTCTGCTCTTGCTGCCTGCCAAGCTGCCGGCCCCGCCCTAGCCTCCTGCCCACCCTGGCACCCTGGTTTACCTCTATCTCCAGGCCCTCTTCCACTACACAGGCCTGGCCCACCATCCCTCCCGCCTCCCTCCGGGAATTCTTTTCTTAGGGGAGGGGTGGGGTTCTGTCACAGTCTTCAGCAGGTGTGCCCAGGATGGCCACCAGATGACACTGTGTTATGTGAGCACATGGCTTGTGTTGTGTTTGTTTGTTGCCATGTGCTCTCTCCTGTCTATTGTCTTGCCCCGCCCATCTTGTTACCTCATTATTGTTTAAGTTGCTCCACCTGTGTCTCCCTCGCTAGCCTCCTCATTTGGTTTCCTATTTATTCTCCTAGTGTCTGTAATCCTGTACTGATCCGTCATTTTTCATTGTGTGTGTTATGTCTGCATGTAGTGCAGTTCCTAGCCTGCCTGTCTGTTTTTCCCTCTCGGGGTTGTTTTAGTTTGTTTTTGTTTAATTTTATTATTAAAAGAAAGAACCCTTCATCCTGCACTTGAGTCCTCGCTTCATCTCTCCACACGCACCGTGACATAAATTGTAAAAACACAAATACAGTGGTTGAAGAAGCATTCAGGTCAGATGATTGTATTCCCGTTCATTTTCCTAAACCAAATTTAGCCCCTGGCTTTAAGTTTCAGGACTGTCCTGCCAAATACGGGACAGGTGCTCTCCCTACCCAAATACCACACTATTTTCATAATCGAAAGCCCAGCTAATCAGATCTGAGCTGGTGATTTCAGCAAATTTTCTTGCTGTTTGTGTGTGCCGTGTTCTTGAGACGGTCAGAAACCACTGGTAGAGGATCTGAATATTTTTGGATTATGGCTATTGGCAGAACAAATCGCTGCTGTCGAGTAACACATTCTCAGACGCAGACAGGACAGTGCGCTCAAGCCGCTGTTGCAGTTAACTAAACTAGTTCACTGTTAGCTAGAATAGGTTTTTTAAAGTGAACAATTATTGGACTATGACATTTCCCTTCCGGTTGGCTGCTTCACATGGTGATCATCATTTGATCGTGTAAATTACTTCTGCACATTTGGCAACATTGCGGTAGCAGAGTCACATGTGCATTTAGTAACAGAGCAACCTGAGAAATGTTTTCAATGTTAAGGCCGCATCCGAGGTGTTACTGATGTCGTGATCATTCCCAGAACCGTGTCGTCTTCGGAGAGCTCTGCTGTGTGGCTCATTTGCTAAATCAAAAGTGTTTTCCCAGTGGGTCTGTTCTTCTGCCCAGATGAGACCAGCGCTGTGAAAGCATGCAGCATAAATGAGTCGTGACCTCAGCCCTGTGTCTTCCAAGCACAGCCCACCTAAAATAGCGTTCGTGACCCTTCCTCCGGCGGGTTAAATATACACTCCAGCGCGAGCAGATAGCCGAGCCGTGCTCTCTAGGGGCTTTATTAGCTTGAGGAGAAACCTTCAGAGAAACACGAGCTGCTTCTCCATTATTAGACGCCATAACCAGAGACAGCTACCAATTTTGGGAGTCATCCAGAGCTCTCAGCACCAAGAGTTACTGAAGCATTCATGCTTTTGTCAGGATTACGCTCTGTTTAGTTTTCATCTTGTTTCTGTGTTTTCTGTGCCTCCTTATTGTTCAGTCCTGTTTTCGGCTTGTTTGTCTCCATGGTTGGTAATTAGCTGCACCTGTTCATTATTAAGTTGCCCTTGTGTATGTAGCCCTGTGTTTTCAGTGAGTGTTTGTCCTTCTCATCATCTGTAGGTGTGTTTAACTAAGTGTGATTGTCCTGCATGTTTAGTTTTTTGTGTTTATTGTGACATTTTTCACACATAGTTCTTCAGTCCATCCACACAAACACATACAATTGTCTTTTCACACATTGTACCATTTTATTCTCCATTTTGTTCATACAGATGTGAATCTCATGGAAACTTTCATGAAACGTTTCATTAAACTCCAAAATGAAAAGAAACTGAATTAGCCAAGAACATGTATATTTTGCAGTTATATTTTGTGTGATTTTTCCCCCCTTTGACAATTAATAACCTCCCGAGCCCAAAATTCTAAACATTAGCTATTTTTTTTCTCATTACTGTAATGCACAAAATAAATAATCAATCAATCATATTGATCATTTAAACTCTTGTGTAATTATAAATCATGGTAGTATCATTGTGGCCAATAAAACATTGTTAAAAGTTGCTGACAACATTGATATCCCTTCTGAAAATCATGCACACTTTATTATATTTTTAAAAAGAGCACTTATTACAGAAATAATGTTCTAGAATATAAAGGAATTTACTTTAAAAGTGAACTGAATGAAATGCTTTTGGATTAAATGAAAATGTGTTATTGTTAGATGCAATCTGTTGAATTTAATGCTTTTTGACCCACCTAAGTAGGAGTTATGTAATTTCATAATTACTTCTTTTGTCTTTGAAATATGCTTACATTACTGCTGAATGTACTGACAAGCACTTATGGTAACTTAAATTATATATTTTGTCGTTATATAATTTCTATTGAAACTTGTATGTCATGTATTTAAATACACTTGTAATTACACAGTTGTAATGATGAAGCTGCAATTTAGAACATTTTAAATATATTAGCTTTTAATCTAATATTGAATAACACACTACATTTCAAGTGTGTTTTAGCATGTTAGTCAACACATCAAAATAATAACAGATTAAAGTGGCCTTTTATATCAGTAATATTATTTTATCTGCAAGTACAGTTTTTTTAATAGTATACATTCAATACAAAAGCACATTAATTATAAAAAAAAAGCTTTTTCCGCCATAAAGATATGATGTTATAGTTTATTCGAATGTATAAGAAAAATGTATTTAACAATCATAACAGGTCACCATTTCTTCTACACTTTATACATTTTAAATATGTTTGCAGTTTGCTTCAGTAGTCCTGCAGTGACAAATGCATATTCAAAAGAACAAAAATTCCATGTAGTCTTTCAATTAACTATAATATTTAGTAATTTATTGTATTAATTAAAGCACATTGAGGTATAGTACATCACACTACAGGACACTGCTTAACATGTCACTTCCGCATGTTAGAATTCATATCAGTTCTCAATGGAGAAAATAAAGTTCCTGTTTTGAAATCCGAATGGGTCAGAATGGGTTGCAGATGCATTTCATGTTAACTCTGGTAGCACAACTTCATGCAACTTCATACACGCCAAAAAACATCACAGCATCACACAGTCTGCATTTAAGCTCTAAATATAAGAAAACGGATTTAAAGACAGTCTGTAAGGAGAGTTAAGTTTGAATAACTGCTGTCTGCAGTATATATAGAGAAACATGTACGTGCATGTGAAGCAAGCTCAGTAAATGTGTGTGATTAATGTCAACAGGAGCTGGATTTCTTTAACAATCCTTTCGCTATGATGGACAGCATGAGGAACAGGATGGAGGCCATGCATAGAAATGTAGTAAGTCTCTTCAACACCGCATCAGTGACCATCTTTCACGGATTAGAATGAATAGACCTCATACAAGGATGTTGAAACACGCTGTTCTTTTGAAATGGTTTTTTTATAATGAGCTGTTTTCTTATTCATCAGTAGGGATGGCAGTTGTAAGCAATTCAGTGATTCGGATTCTTTCAAGATTTTTAAGTAGCACTTATCACAAATGAACTTTGTTGTAAAAGTGTGTCTTTCATTGTACAAACAACCAGTCAGTATGAGCCGGTGACTCCCGATTCCTCGACTGAATTCAGCGTCCCTGAGATGTTTTTGTAACTGTTTCTTTTTTTAGGAGAACATGGCGTCAGACCCCAACAGCCACTCGTATTCCTCTTCCTCCGTCATGACGTACTCTAAGATGGGAGACGAGCCGGCCAAAGTCTTCCAGGCCTCGTCTCAGACGCGCTGTGCTCCTGGAGGAGTGAGTCCTGCTCTCGAACACTCACACCGCAGCACCTCCTGCGGATCAGTGTTATGATGGGTGCTTTATGCTGTGTTCAGATAAAGGAGACCAGGAGGAGTCTGAAGGACTCTGAGAGCGGACTGCAGAAGATGTCCATCGCCCATCACATCCAGGACAGAGGCCACGTCATCGAGAGGAAAGAGAATGGGAAAACCGGAGAGAAGGAGCTCAACCAGGACTTCCAGAACATGGATGAAAGTGAGGAAGCATTTAAAGAGACAAACACCAGTTTCGCAGCAGTGAAAAACGCTTTCAGTGCATGCTCTTTTACTATTTTCTTTTACTGCACAAGTATTCTTTTTATTAGTTATGTTCGCTCAGTAATCGCTTCTCCACAAATTAAGGCCTAAATAGGTCTTAAATTCATAAAGTCATGCATTAAATTTTGCATGCACTGCAAAAAAAATTAAATAAGCATCTTCCAAGCTATTTGTGTTTTCCAGTACAAATATCTAAACATCCTCAAATCAAGATGCATTTTTTTGTACATTGTTTCCTGAGAAACTGAACAAAATGAGTGATTGCTTGAAACAAGAACAAATATCTGCCATTTTGTAAATGCATCTTGTATTTAAGAATCTTTAGACATTTGCACTGGAAAACAAGACAAAAATACTGAGGAAGAGCATCCGTTTTTTGCAGAAGTCCAGTTTTAGTGTTTGAGATCAGAGCTATTCAAGCCTTAAACAGTTTTTTTAAATGAATTAAAAAGTAATGGTGATTCGTTTTTAAGTAATTAAGTATTTTTTTTTAACTTTGAAGCATTCTAATACAAGACATTTACATTTAGAGACCATATTAATGTTTCACTTATTCCTTAAATTTTTTAGTTTGGTTATAAAAAGGTCTTTAAAAAGTCAAATTCACCTTAATAAAACCTGCAGAAGCTATTTCTAATACTTAGCAATTTGCTCAACAGTTTTGAATCCTTACTTCTATAAAGTCTTAAAGGGGTCATATGATGCTGCTAAAAAGAGCATTCTTTTGTGTATTTGGTGTAATGAAATGTGTTTATGCGGTTTAAGGTTCAAAAAGCACATTATTTTCCACATACTGTACATTATTGTTTCTCCTCTATGCCCCGCCTTTCTGAAACGCATCGATTTTTACAAAGCTCATCGGTCTGAAAACCCCTCACCATACTGTGATGCCGTGTCCGGCTGGAGCGACGAGACAAAAACATTAAAACCCATTACAAACGAGGCATTTGTTGCCTCCAGTGGGGACATAATTACTGATTATAATGACTTATACTGTCTTTTTACGCGTTGCGTTTGCATCGCGCCGCGCAAACATAAAACCATGTCTGCATTTGTGATCGGAGAAATGACAAACAACAAGCCCTACTCTACACTGCCCAAAAAACTTGCTTTAAATATATATAAAATATAAAAACGCTTTAAATATAGAAAAACGTCCGTACAGTCTGTGAGTCAGAACAGCCGGCATTGTAGTCTACTCTCCCAGGATCAGGAAACAGTCCTCCATAAAATGTGCTGCACACATCTGAATATTTGGGTTGAACTGTTCTGGAACAGTGTTGTAAATACAACTTAACACTGATTTCTAGTCGAAACAGCGTCACACACGGCGGGCTTGAGAACGGTGCGGCCAGCGGATTCGACGAAGGAGGCTTGCGGCAACCACATGTGATGACTCCAGGCTGGACTCCACTTCGTCCACGGTGAAAGTCGATCCAGCGATCCACAGCGCAAAGTTGTAGTATTTCTTCAGCGACCAGCACGGATCAGCTCTAGGCGTGAAGCAGATATCATCCTCTTTTGGAAGAACAAACAAAGTAGTTTCGCTTTCACAACGAAGCACACGGCGTCTTCACGGCATGGCGGCGGCGGCAACAACAATACTACAGCGAGAATAAAAGTTA